CGTCTCTGTTACTGAAGAAAGTGACTGAACTGTATGAGATTTCCAAAGGCTTCACTCGAAGGGTTTGGTAGGTTTAGGATTTTGAGTTGAGCATCACATGGAAATTTTTCCTTAGTATTTCCTCGACTCCCTTTAACAGTACGGTGTTTCCTATGACTCAAGAAAGAGAAAAATAAAACTATGAAAACGAAGTCTTCAAGCTTCATATTCCTCGCATGAATATCAAGTCTTCGCGGATACACCAATTTCTTCACTTTCAAAGTCTTCATGAAAGTCTTTAGAAATACCAAATTCTTCAATCGAAGATATACATTTTTAGGGGTCGACTTTCCCTGTAAATATCAAACTCCTCATAGACTTATAGACCTGTGTACACTCACAAATGCATTAGTCTCTTAACCTATAAGTCTTCAATACACCGAAATCACTAAGGGGCACTAGATGCACTTATAGTTGCTCCTAACGAAGTTGCACAAGAGATTCAAGTTCCCCGACCGGGATGATAACATAGAACAACCGTGGGATGATCCGAAGATGAAAAAGATTAACAATCAGGCCATGGGCATGTTCAGCAATGATTTGGCCTCCTGGAAAGGGAGGGTGAAACGAGCTATTGAGGCTGATGAACCCCTGTCCAAGATTCTGGAGGAAAATCCAACACTTATGGAAGAGGAGTTCGAAAAGTTCAAGGACACTTGCGCTACCGAGGCAGCCAAGGCTAAGGCTGCGAAATTCAAGAGCCTTCAGCAAAGGAACACAGGGAAGCATCGCCTCGGAAGCCGTGGCTACCTCGGTAAAAGGCCCATATGGGATAAGGAGGACGCGGAACGTGAAGCTGCGGGTCTCCCAGACCCCTTCGCGAAGTTCACCAACCCCTTGGAGCATGACTTCATCAGGGCCCGCTACAAGTGGGACAAGGAGAAAAAGGTTTTTTACACGGACAAGATCACGAGGAAATTGATTAGACTACTGGAGAAGCAACACCAACTTGCAGCCGAAAGCCCTACTTCTCCGATGAGGCCCAAGTGGGACACCCCTCTCAACCGGGCCTTGAACGAACTTAAGGAACTCCCTTTGGATTAGCGGCCGCAATATGGTCGTGTGCACAGCGCTGGAGACGGCGCCACGTGGAAGGTGTTTTACAATGAGGGCCCGGAGGCCAAGAAGCTGAAAATGAAGTTTAGTCAGGCGAACATCGATGTGAAGGTCAAGCTTGCGGTCGAGAAAAAAGCAGCTGAGGACGCGAAAAAAGCAGTCGAGGACAAATATGAGTTGCTACAGCAGGCAGTCAATGCAGCTGTAACTGCCTGCAGAAATGATTTTGCTACTAACTTGGTTCCAGTTATCATCAACTCGGCGAAGGAAAATCCAGACAAGACGGTACATGATTTTCCGATGCCCAGTTTCGTCGGGAGCAACTCCATGAACAACAACACCATCGCGCCATCACTTGCTCACGCAACCGGGCCTCCTCTCGCAGCCGCTCCCGCTCATAGCAGCCTGTCCTCAGTCTCAGGCGCGCTAGGTGGGCCTTCGTCTTTGGCTGAGCTCGACGCCGTCACGGTAATTACATGTTGCACCAAGATATATATATATATATATATATATATATATATATATATATATATAATATTCCATTTTTGTTGCCTTTCGGTTGTTTTATACCACAAACATATGTGTTTGCAGGCGAAAGAAACCCCGTGCACCATACTTTACTTGATCAAAGGCCAGAAGGTGGACGTGGGAAAGGGGATGATAATGGACCCCTCTCAACGCACGTTCCACAACTAGCCGATCCCCGCTGGGCACTTCAAGGTTAGCTTGACTAGTGTGAAATCGGGGCACGAGGATTTGCCTCCTCCAGTACAGCATGTGGGAGCGGACGACGAGACCCCGCCGTGGATTGGAAGCTGCAAGAATTGGGTGCTTCTATGGCCGAAGAATCTTATTCGTCTGGAGCCGGCCGAGAGCACACCAATAACTACCACACATCAACAAGCATGTGCGAAGACCACCACCCCGCCTACGCAATTACCAGCTCCTGTAGTGCCGGGTGAGAGCGACGGATGACATGTTGAAGGGGGTGCAATAGTACTGGCTGATGTAATTTCTCCTGTAGAACAGAGAATGGATGATGAGACGGAGGTCGACCCTATGGATTACCTCAATACAAACGCGTATGACTGTGACATAGATATGATGAGTCAACCATATGAAGAATCGGGCTATCAGCTTGCTAATGAGGATATGGATGATATGCCCGGGCAGGGTCGTACCATGGATTGCAAAAAGTCTCTCTTCATGAAATCCTCATAGGACACGCCTGAAGATGCCGCCTCAACACAGGCACAACTAGCCGGGCGCGAGGGTCGTACGGTACTTAGCCCGGGAACACTGGGGCAGGGGTTAAGGAAGGGTCTGGAAGGTGTGCCCAAGAAAAAGGAGAGGAAGAGATCGGGGAAGGTAACTGCCTCCAAACAAGCCAGAGCACATAGCAGCCAGACGATGCATTCTAAAGAGCGTGTACCCGTGAAAGGTGCGGTCATGTTCCATCTCATGGGCGAGCCGATGCTACCGCCGAAACCGCTGGAGGCACTATCAGGGGATCTCAGGAGACTGCACGACCATGTGCTGTCGACTGAGAAAAGCCTACTAGCCTCAAAGGATCCAGGATATCCGACATACGCGGCTCGTGTGCCTGAGAGGAAGTGCTACGTCGACACACGGCCCGCGAAGGTGTTCTTCCTGTGGTTTGACCATATCTTTGAGATGTTTCTAACAAGGCAGCTTGATTTTTCTATCGTCCGCCTTTTTGCGCTACATATGAGCTCCGTCATGAAGAGTGAAGAAATCTCGCAAATCTGTGTGGCGGATCCGTACTACATGCATGAGTCTTTCTTGAGTCTCGGCGACTTTGAGCGTGAAACTGCTAGGGAGTACCTCGAAAACTTCATGGTACAGAATAAGGACCGGGAAATTGTCCTCGTGCCTTATCATCCAAAGTAAGTCAGTTCCGGACAACCCTTTCGTACATTTCAATCATTCGTTCTCTCTCATATGGGGAATGATTTGAGGTGTCTTTTCCCCGCGGCAACGGGCGCGCCGTCCTTATCGTTCTTTACCCGCAAGTCTCCCACGCCAAGTATCTTGACCCTTCCAGAGACTACGAGAAAAAAGACTACACCCACATAATGAATATTCTAGATGATGCTCTCCAAGGCTTCAGCTTTAGAGGTGGCCACGTGCAGATCAAGAAACAAAGGAACAAGAAGATGGGTTTCGCGCATAAAACTAACTTCTCCTGCATCCATGTCCCAAAACCAAGCAAGAAGGATGGATTCTACATCGTCCATCTCATGATTCAGTTCAACACGGATCACCAAAAGCTTCGCATTAACAGCAGAAATGATGATCATATCCACAAGTGGCTAGAATCTCATGGAGAAGCGGATTATAAACTTAGAGATGACTTCTTTCGCATCCAAAGTGACATTGCGACGATCATCATGAAAGAAGTCGTTGATGAGAAGGGGATGTTCCACCACTGCCCTATATCGCGAGCTGACGTCCGAACTCGCATAGGCATGCAACGTCTAGACCTCACGCCGTTCAAGAAGCTAGGGTTCGTCCTCGATGATATGGAAGGATGGAACTTCTAGTGATTTATGATGCCGATGATGATGATATGTGTCGGTTGAACTTGTATACTTTTTGTAGCGATGAAACTTTGTGATGTCCACGGTCCCTGCCGAACTTGCGTACCGCTACTTTGTTAGTTTGCGCACGATAACCTGCGTGCCTCTGGTTAATTAATTTGCGTCCTGTATGTGGCATCTAGTTGCTAACCCTTTCTTTTTCGGTGTTGCTCTAGTATATTTTGTTGCATATATATGATTGTACATCCTCTTCATGAACATGCATCTCTAACAGGTACCTAGTTTCTTGATGGCGAGATGGAATTGCTATGTCGTGTACAAAGGGAAGGTTCCGGGGGTGTACAACGAGTGGCATGAGTGTCAGGAGCAAGTGAATGGGTTCACGGGCGCCAGCTATAAAGGCTTCAAAAGCAGACAAGAAGGAGAAGCTAGTTACTTGAGGTTCACGCTAGCGCGAGAGAGGACTCGTAACCGTCACCTCATGTACTGCATAGTTCCGCTCTCACTCATAGTGATAGCACTTCTTGCGTATACCTTTGTTTAGATGGATGACGTTGTTGTAGTTGCAAGTATTCGAGACTTGCATGTATTGCTATTTTCGAGATGATGACAAGATATCACTTTGTGTTGGATGATGATTATGATGAGACTATTTGTATGTACATGCTATGATTACATTTGTGGTCTCGCAAGCATTTGTATGTGTATCGTGATGACATTTCTATGTGCTAAAGATTCTTCTATAAAGCCTGTTCAAATACAAAACAAATATGCCAAAAAAAAACCTACTTAAATTAGCAGTAGCGAGTGTATAAAAGTTAGCAGCAGCGCCGCGATAGCAGTAGCGCGTCAAGGCAAAGCGCGCTAGAGCTACTAGCAGTAGCGAGCTTCCGCTAACAGCGCTGCTGCTACACTTGTGTAGCAGTAGCGCCGGTGAGCACGTGCTACTACTATCTGTTAGCTGTAGCGCCTATCCCCGCGCTACTAATACATCTAAAACCCGCGCTGCTGCTAGCCTTTTCCCTGGTAGTGTTAAAGCCCGCCCCATTTGGTGATAATGTGTGACCAAATATGTTAATCTAAGAGAAAATGAATTTTGATCAAGATGGAATTCGGTGATCAAAGATGGAATAGGGGCACCTCCCCCATTCCGGACAGCGTGTCATCCGTGGCGGGCTCGCGCTTGCTACAAAGGCCACCGATGCACACAAGGTGTTCGATAAAATGACCCAAAGTCCTTGGTCAATCCAAAGTGCTGTATATATGAAGCTCTGTACAACAAATAATATAAAAAATGGCAGTTAAATGGAAAACAAATCAATCACGGTGGTAAAATGTCATACATCATGCACGCATTACTGCTGCTTCGTCTTGTGCAAGATCTGCTCCGACGTGGTCGCTACCACTTTCGTCGAAAACGGAAGCAGCTGCAGCAGCAGCAGCAGCAGTGCTAGTGGCCTCCTCACCGTCCACTCCGTCGAAACCGGAAACAGCTGCGGCCGTGACGGCGACGACGACGACCTCCTCTTCCTCCTCCTCAGTGATATCACCCTCTTTCGGCCGACGAGCGCCATTGCCATTGCCTTCCGTGTAGAGCCTCAGCAGGTTGGCCAGGTCCGGCGACGAGGAGTAGACCGAGCCCGGCAGGAAGTCCACCAGCGACTGGTAGTTCTTGTTCTCGCTCCAGCCCGCCTCGTCTTCCAGGCCCACCAGTTCACCATCACCGTCGCGGCTCAGCCGGCGCCCGAGCCGGTTGGCCGGAGGAGCAGAGCAGTCCGCGTCCAAGGAGGCGGCGGCGGCCTCGTGGCCGTGGAGCTGGACCCTGACTCTGAACGCGTCGAGCTGCCGCTGCAGCTCGTGCTTCTCCGTCTCCGTCTCGTGGACGAGCTGCATGGCCACCCGCGCCGCCTCCCGGTCCAGCTCGCCCTGCTCCTCCAGCTCCGCCCTGGCGCGCCGCTCGCCGTGCAGCTCCGCGCGCGCCGCCTCCAGCTCCCTCCGCTGGGCGCGGAGGGCGGCCACGAGGCCGCTCACGGTCAGCGCCTGCTCGCCGTCTGCCGCGGCGCTCGGGGACGCGCTCTCGTCGTGCTCCGTCTTCGCCGTCCCGTGCCCGTGGCCGTGAGGTGCTTCTTTGGCATCGTAATCCGGCAGGGTGTCTTCCGGGAGGGCGACGAGGGGAGCGAGCTCGAATAGGGATACGTACGGGCCTTCGCCGCTGTCGGTGCTCGACGTTCTTCGGAGGACGCTGAGGTTGGTGGCACGGGGTTGGTCGTCGTCGGCGCCACGATCTTGCTCGCAGATCTCGCTACCGATGGAGACGACGCGTTGAGACTCTAGACCTGAGCACAATGTCAACTATCAGTTGTCAACACGAAGAATTCCAAGACCATTTTCATTCGCTGATGTACAGTTTTTTCAGTTGGATTCGCTAATGTACATTTGAAGTAATAGAGTATACTAGTAGGAAAAGGCCAAAAGCATAAAAAATATTTATCACAAATTAAGGTCCACCTATCCTTCAATTGACTGGAAAAAATGATAGAGTCAGTCGATTTGGAATAATCTGAACCGTTAGATGAAAAATAAACGGCCAGATCGTCGACTTCTTCCTTGACCGGTCTCCTAGCGCATGTCAAACCTCCAATTCGCCTTCACCTACGAGGTCGCGCCTCTGACTCGCTCATAGCGCGGCCTCGCCGGGATGCTGCGGCCTACCTCTTCTTCCCGCAATAATCACTGGCACAATTAGGATTTCCAGGCAGCCGAGAAATAGAAAAACCGCACAAATTGTTGTTTGGCCGGTTCCAGCTTCATTCATATGTTTACTGCAGTTGGAGTTGTTCAACAACAACACTGAGCTGCAATTCGGCAACCCTGCCGATGCCGTTCACAGTTCACAGCATCGGTCGGCAGACGGCTCCCGGCGTGGCAAGATGGGCTATAAAATCCATGATTATCCTGATCAACTGAGAAATTTGAAAAGAAAGGAACTGCTGCACATTCGGGGAGAAGGAAAATCTTGTGAGGAGTTAGAATAGCTTGAGCCCAGGGGCTCCTTCTCTTTTCTGTTTTCAGTATCATTCATGCGATCACTTGATCGACCCTGTTTTCCGCTCTCTTCTACTAAATCAATGAATGAATGCCGGCAGCATGTTGGATCTTTCAAAAGAAAAGAAAAAACACTGAGCTGGCAGGTGGACCACCTTTTTCATTCAGAACTACTGAAGTGCGCAAGTGCCAAACTGGGTTCAGGTTCCTTGTAACTCAATTTTGGGCAGTTGAAACCCATTGAGGGGTGTTTGGTTCAGGGAAGTCCCAGAGACTAAAAAAAGTCCCTAAAAACCAAACGGGAGGGATTTTTTCTACAGGGACTAGAAAAAGTCCTAGGACTTCTGAACCAAACACCCCCTGAAAAGCATTCCCATCTTCTGATTCCCAAGAGTGACATCCCTGAACAGTTCTCATGCAGTCCATCAGCAGATCATATTTAGCAAATGGATGCATTATTGCTGTCTTGTTGAACTCGTACCATTTTCTTATCCTATCAGAGGTGTGTCTGCATCCACCGCAATCATCTTGTGGTATATCACCGACAACTCGACCAGATAAAAATACCGAAATTCATGTTGCTATGCAGAATCATTTTTTTTTAGAACGAAGGCTCGCGAAGAGCCCGGCTTTGAATTAACAAAGTCATCAACCGGCCAGGAGATACAGACACACACAGACCCCACGACCAAACGATACAAGGGGACACTCTAGGAGGCTTACAACTCAACGGTTCGCACAAACACAAAGAACAAGCTTGTCCTAGCCGAAGACTACAGCCAAACAAACCATCTAGGGATGAGGCACACACGAGCACGCCGAGGACCTGCTTGCAACAAAGTGTGGAAAGTGAGCCCGACCAACGCCCAAGTAGAAAGACATTACACATCCGCCGTCTCTCTCGCCGCAGAGGGACCCTTCCCTCTCGCCATGGCTCGCAAGGCGCCGTACCCGGCGGACTTGAGAGACGCTCACCCTAGAGCAGGGGACGTGATAGCTTCAGGACCTGGAGCAGCCGCAGCACATCACCACTTGAACTTTCGAGCTCTCCGCGACTGCCGCCTCGCCACAACCTAGAACGCCTGAGAGCTGCAGGAAAACCACCAGGTGCGGCTACTGAAGAAAGGCAGCAGGGGCATCAGGAGAGCCGACAGGCCACCGAGGAGCATTGCCAGGCAGCCGAACGCCTACAGCCATGCCGAACCTTGTGGCCCCATCGTCACCGGACCACCCAAGCCACCCAAGCTCCGACCATGAACCCCTCACCTGAACGCATCCCTCCCCAGGCGGTGCCCCCAAGGAAGAGCACGACGCACAGCGCGCCGCCACCGCCCAATCCAAGCCGGATTTTGGGCTTTCACCCGGGAGGAGGAGCAGGGGTGGAAAGGGGAGGGCCTCTGCAGCACCTCCAAGGAGGAGACGACGTCGGGAACGTCGCTGCTGCCAGGCCGGCCACGCCGGCCAGCGGTTTCCCGCGGCCCAAAACCAGACCACCGGTCACCCATCCACATCAAACCGGTGCTCGGAGGGAGGCAGGCGAGAAGCGGCGGGGACGAGGGAGACAGGGGAAAGGAGCCACCTTCAGATCTGACGAGGCGGGGAAGACCTCCGCGCCGCCGCCGCCACCCGCCGTCGTCTCACCACCCGCGTGGTCGAGGCCGCCGGCCAGAGCTCACCCGCGGACGACGCCGGCCGCGAAGGCGCCGCCGCCTCGCCAAGAAGGGCCGCCGCCCCAGATCCAAGGTCCTCCTCGAGGAGGGAGCGACCGCACGAGCGGATCCGGCGGCTTTCTCAGGTGGCGGCGAGGGAGGAAGGGTGAGGGATCGGCGGCGCGACGAGGAAACCCTAGTCGCCGCCCGAGTCGCCCGAAGCGGACGACGCGGGGGCCGGGGGGGGGGTGAAAGTGGATGCAGAATCATTTTGTGGTTGCTAATTGCTGATACTAGTATTCTCTAGCGATTCCTGCAGAGACAGACCATTGGTGCCACGCCACGCCACGCTGCTAGTTCCAAGAAAATAAGCAATCGATAGACTGGTTACCTCGAGATTTATCTGAGTCATATTTCGTCCCTGTGTGGACGTGATCAGAAGGAGAGCACGCCGGCTGCTCTGTTTCTTGTGCGCCTAAGCGCGCGATGGCGGCGACGTGAGCGTCGCAGAGCAGGCGGCGGAAGGCGTCGTCTTCTTCTTGGCTGCAACCAGCGTCGCCAGAGGAGGAGGTGCAGAGCAGGCGGTGGACGCGAGCGCAGAGGAGGCAGGGCGGGCCGAGGCGGAGCGAGGAGGCCGCGGCGGCGATGAGGCAGAAGGCGGCGCCGTTGGCGAGGAGCAGCGACGCCAGCGCCCACTGCAGCGCCGCGCGCACCAGCACGGCCAGGAGCTCGCGGACCATCACCAAAGAATCATGGAAGCTCCGTGGATCAATCCAGAGACAGAGGAAGATGCCGATGAGCTGGAGGCCGGAGGCAGAGGAAAGTGGCAAGGAGACGACAATGGCGGGTTAGGTGGACGGGGTGATGGGCTCCATCGCGCGGTGGCCAAGAGAAGGAGAAGCTGTCAACTTTGCAAGAATGGAGCCCCACTATGAGTTGGAGAGATAATCAAATTGGGTGTGATTGAATGATTGGGGTTAGAGATCACTTTTGAGAGCAGAGGTTGCGGAGTTGGAGGGGGAGAGACGTCATGGGTCGTCTACTCAGCCTCACTCTCATCAAAGAAAGTATTGTGCTTTCTCTTTGATTCCTACCACTCCGTCCAAATCGGTGTTCCTTTCGGCAAAATGACGTCTTTACACGACGAGAATGTCGACGTTTATCCGGTAAAGCACCAACGGGATCACTAGTTAAAGAGCTATCCTCTAGAACCACCCGTTAGAGAAGAAGAAAAAGAAGAAGAAAAAAAACGAGTTTTCTCCTCTAACCGGCACCTAGCAGAAGCAAAAAAACCTTAGAGGAGTAAAACTTTTACTCCAAGCAGCGCGTGGCCCTTAAATTTACTTATTATTATCCTTCCAGTCATGGAATACAAATCCAACATCTCCTCTCTTCTCCTCTCCGCTGCCCCTCCACCCAATTCCCACCGACCAAGCTCGCCTGCACCCACTCACTCTGGCGCCGGCCCATCGCGGATATGCCTGGATCCCGCCGCCGCCCATCCGCAGCGCCGATCCGCGCCGCCATGAGCACTCCAGAGGCCATGGAGGTACTTCCTCAGGTGCCACCGGCGTAGCCTCTTCCTCCCGCGCCGCTGGCGCATCTTCTTCCTTGCGCGGACGCCTACACGGCTTCCCCGACCTCCCGTCGCCGCCACAAAGGCAGTACATCGGTGTGCGGCAGCGGAACTCGGGAACGTGGGTCGCCGAGATAACCAATCGGCACACCCACAAGAAGATTTCGATTGGACCCTTCCATTCCGCCGAGCAAGCGGCGCTGGCTTACGGTATCATGTCAGTCCCCCCATCACGGTGCGGACGTCCATCAAAACTTGGCATTTGGAGAGATCTTGCGGCCGGATCCCATCGTCCCATGGGTGGTCTCTGCGCAGGAGAGGAGGGAGGACCGGGAGGCTCGAAAGTGCATCACGGCGGAGGCTGCGTAGCTCCCCCGCCGCTACCCAGAGCATGTCGAGGCGGAACGCCTTGTACGAGTAGTTAGCGGCCGAGGACGGATGTCATCGTTCTGTCTACCAATGACGACGACGGCGGCGACGACAACAATGATGACCACCAAGGCGCCAACCCTATGATTGGCGGGAAGGCGACTGAAAGAGGCTCGCCAAAGAGACAGTTAGTGATTGGTAAGTTTCAATTATGTAAGTCTAAGTTTCCATTTAAGTTCATCCAAATGTCAATGTAAATATGTAACCAATTTCATTTTAGTAGGTTCATCGGCAACGAATTTCGTTTTAGTAGGTTTATACGTTCTCGTTTACATCAAATTTTTGCTTGTGCCACACAATTCTTTTTTACTTGGCTAAAGTTTAGGGGATCCGCTAGAAATGACCAAAACTTGGAGAAGTAAAAATACTGCACTTAGTAGGTCCATCGGCATTGGATTTCATTTTAGTAGGTTTATACATGCTCGTTTACATCAAATTTGTGCTTGTACCACACAATTCTTTTTTACTTGGCTAAAGTTTAGGGGATCTGCTAGAAATGACCAAAATTCGGAGGAGTAAAAATACTGCACTAAAGGATACTTGATCGTTTACTCCTCTAAATTTTAGGAGATTGACTAGAGTTGCTCTAAAGGTTACAACTTGCAAAGATCACTCCCACCTTCTCAGACACTGAGTGCGCCACTTGTTGCAACATGAGAGTTCTCCTTTTTCCATAGATTTATTTATTCGCATCCAAATTCCGAACAATTTTCACCGTTAGATTTCTTGCGTCGAGGATTTTGAAACTAGATCCCATGTTAATAAGTTTTGACGAACTTATTTTCCAAAAGAAAAGGGAAACCCAAAAAAATGAATGGTAAAAATTATCGAAGCCTGGATCATAGC